TTAAAAAAATATTTAGTTGAACCTTTATTTTATTCATTTATTTCTATGGGGTGCTGAGACTCAAACCCAGTACCTCACACATGCTGAGCAAGCACTTTACTACTGAGCCACAACCCCAGCCCAAGATTTTCTAAATAATATGAAACACTACATGTTAAGAACTCGAGTTTTAAAGTGTCAGACTAGGTGTAGTGGCTCATGTCTGTAATCCCTTCTACTTGCCTGGGCAACTTAGTGAGACCCTGAACTAATTAAAATGAAATAAAATGGCTACATGTGTAGCTTAGTGGGAAAGGGAGAATGCCTGCCTAACATTTATAAGGCCCTAAGTTTAATGCCAGTATCAGGAAAAAAAAAATCATAAAAAGATTGAGGGATATTTTTGTAATTTCTTCAGCAAGGCCTCAGCCATATAGGACTTAATCCTAACAAGAGCAATTCTTCCATTTACATTTTCTATAGAAAATATATTTCAGTCCTGATTGGGTCTTGCCAAGTTGTTCAGGATGGCCTTGAACTTGCAATTCTTCTGCTTTAGCTTCCGGAGTAGTTGGGATTATACACATGTGCCACCTACCTGGCTTCAGCCTTGATTCTTTAAATTTAAATAATAAAAAAAAAGACTTATAATTTTAAACCTGAGAAAAGAAACAGCTGATGTTTCTAGTTCATAGTACATAGCCTTTCTGAACTTTATCTTAGTCTCAGTTACTTTCAGAGAGCTGTCAGAAAACAGACTTTCATTTAAACTGGTCTTCCTGTAACTTGACTATTGTGCTACAGGAAGAGTATTCAATGCCAAAGATGTTAAAAAACTTGGATTTCTCAAGAGTTCCTGGGAGAGAGATTCTAAAAGGCAAGCAAGGATGTACCCTTGCATTAAGGTCATGTTCTACTTTATAATTCACAATACAATTTCTTCAAGTTTATTACTACTTTATGCCCAAAGTACATATGCCTATATGACAGAACCCCACCCCTATCTTCAGAGATCTAAAAAATTACTATCTGCTTGACTTTCTTTTCATTTTATGTGGTTGCATTCCAGCCCATGTGATCAATAAGAGTCAAGCAACAGCTTATGCTAAGCCGCAATTTATCACACAGATGCTTAGATGTAGATGTAAAGAAATTGGATTTTTGTAAGTTAATTTATGCTAAATTGTAGGACCCTCTTTATGTGTGACTAGCTTTGGCATTCACCCAAAACTGTCTTTGAATTTGGTGTCCAGATAGAAAAATTCAGCTATTCTAGACTTCTAGTATTCATCATGTGTATATAGAGAGTAACTATTACTTGAAAGGATATAAAATTTTAATATGTATACTATGTAACTGTTCAAAAAAATTATTAGATATTTTATTAGCCAATAAATATATATGGAGTACTTCTATGTATTATATATTGTGCTAGATGTCCTTTCCAGAGCAGGCAGTAATTAGGCAAATCTTCAATGACAACCACTATATCTTGCCTTGATTCTTCTCTGAAATTACACAATGAATAAGCATTTTAAAAATGTGTTCCAGGAGCAAGTAAGCAACACATGATAAACTCTTAAGTATAACCAAATACTATTAAGGTGTGGGATTTAGAGAAACATCCAGCTATATAGATGGACCAATATATTTGATTACAATCCAGCTTCAAAGAGGCAAACAATTTGAAAAAAAAAAAAATGGGGCTCAGACTATAGGCAAAGGTCTTTAAGCATTATCAGTCATTGAGAGCCAAATTCCTACAAAGCTATCCCAATCAGCAACAGAACAAAATCAGGACAGGATAGGGCCTGAGGAGGATGATAAGTGCTGTAAGTGATTGGGATCAGAGCAAGATTCTTTAATCTGCTCTAAGGTAATGAAGGGACGATTACATACGGCAAAAAGGTACACTGAGGTCCATTTGACATTATGATCAAGTTAGATGGCTAGGTCTCTCTTCTATCCAGAAGAATTATAATTTTTTTGTTCATATGAACTAAATTCATCTTTGGTTACTAAGGAAAGGCATAAATACTTCAGTTTTCTGTATCAGCTGGGGCTACTGAAATGGCACACTGTTCTCAAATATATCTGGTTCAAAATGAATGTAATATAATCTATAAATACTTGATATTTTTAAGGGTGTTATTTTACTGTTGTGACAAAGATTGCATCATAATAACAGCTTATGCTAGAGAGGGAAGTTACTTGTAAACAATACACTGATACTTTTGGCATTACAGCACGCGAATAGGTGTTTCTGAAATTCTAAGCACCCACTGTAGGCCAGACTAACATTGAAGAAAAGACTGGCCTTTCATTTTGTCTTACTTTTCATAATTTCAATGTAGCAATGGCAGATAATTCTCTTACAAAAAAAAAAAAAGAAGACCATAGCTTAACAAAAAATTCTCTGTAACTTCTCCAACTCTGATGTAAAAACAATTTGAAACTACCTTATATCTATTAGAGCTTGCCCATATTTTCAACAGGTCACTCAAATTGAAAACTTCATTTTCATCTGTCACCTTCATTTTCATTAGATGGAATGACACTGATCAGCACCATTCTTTCCAAGCCACATACACTTTGTAATCTGCTCTTGACTTTAGTATGTCAAGAAAAATAAAATGTAATTTCATTTGAATATCCTTATAATTTATCAAGAACTTTGCATATTTGTGAGAAAAATGCAGCACATAGAGGACATGGTTTAATTTTTAAACCAAACCTAGCTATAGTCAAAATACACCTAATCAGTTTCTCCACTGATTCTCTAAATTTAAAGGAGTAAAAGTCATAATCCTCTGAATTATGCCTCGTCTTCATTAACTCTACCCCCAAATTTTAAAATTCTTGGTATTGATGTGCCATAACATTTTTTACTGTCGATTTTTCTAGTTGCTTTTCAAAAATTAACAGGAAACAGTAAAAAAAAGTGCTTGACAATTAATTTTTACAAATGTTTTATTGTTACCCTCTTATCTCCCCATCTAAAATTTTTTTTCATATTATTGGCTTACAGGTTAATTTTAATTAGAACATAGAAGAACACAAAATAAATATTTCATAACTGTTAATAGAGAAGATCTAGATAATTAAATTGTCATAATCTAGTGAATCTTAGCATTAATAAAAATGATCCAAATCAATATTTATCAAAATCCAGATGGCCTTTTTCTTTTTTTTTAATATTTATTTTTTAGTTTTAGGTGGACGCAATATCTTTATTTTACATTTATGTGGTGCTGAGGATCAAACCCAGTGCCTCATGCATGCCAGGTGAGTGCTTTATCCACTGAGCCACATCCCCAGCCCCTGATGGCATTTTTCTATACCTAGTTATGAGGGAAAATCTCTGATTTCTATTATAAGATTTAATATCATCAGTTATTCTTATGATTGGTTAGTACAGAGAATGAAGCCATTAATAACCATGCTTGTGTATTCCCACTCAATTCCTATTAACCTACTTTAAGGAACAGAGGCTCTTTGGAAATTATTTAATAATAATTATTAACCACGTCTTTAAATGAACCTAAACTTATTTTGTTAACGAGTAGTTATCTAGTAAATACTTAATATTTTACTTAATACAGATACTCATGCTAAAAATTATTCAAGTTAATCTATTAAAGCTGATCAGAGAAATTAAGCGTAAACAATAGAATCTGTGAATAAGAACTTGGGGAATATAAATATTTGAATTCTGAATTATCATAAGAAACCAAGCTTTTTTAAAAATACATTAATTAAAAAACACATTTCCCTCATTCCACCGGTACCAACTGCAGATTAAAGGACTATTCTCAATTTAGGATATCAACAGCAAAATCAAGTCTCTCTCTCTCTTTTTTTTTTTTTTTGGTGGTATTGGGGATTGAACCCAGGGCCTCGTGCATGCTAAGTAAGGGCTATATCACTGAGCTATATCCCCAGCCACAAATTTGACTCTTAGTTTACAAAACTTTTTTCTTTTTTAGAGGATGAGATGAAACACACACACACACACACACACACGTGTGTGTGTGTTATGATTTTATTCTGTTCCCTTGCCACAGTACTTTTCATATAGTAAATATTTGTTTAAACCTGTGAACAATGATATGCAATTTACATTCTAGGTTGGAAAATGGACAATAAATGTTTAGATTGTCCCAAGAAGGCTCATTATCCAAATAATGTATGGATAAGAAGAGAAATTCCTACCATTTATTATAAACACAAGATATTTCTACCAAATTGATTGTTATTCTGGATGTGCATTTAAGAAAGTATTACTTTGAAAAGTCAAACTTCCAGGGCTGGGGTTGTGGCTCAGAAGTACAGCACTCGCCTAGCAAATGCGAGGTGTTGGGTTCAATCCTCAGAACCACATAAACATAAATAAGATAAAATAAAGGTATTGTGTCCAACTACAAAGTATATATATATATATAAAAGTGAAACTTCCAAAAATTTCAATGAGAATTAACTTGATTTAATTGGAGAAAATTGTACAGCATAATATGACTTCTTTGGAAAAGCAGCTTTCTAAATTTAATTGGGAAAGAAAGCAAATATTTTCTATATGTAGTTTTAATTTTATTCTATACAACACAGTAAAGTTTCTAAAGTATTTAGGTTCCAAATTTCAATCCATTAGGGCAGAGTATTCATATTACTCAAAATAATGGTAATTTCTTAAACACCATTGAGTCCATTAACTTTTAATGAAGACAGCTAATGAGAAATATGACAATCCTACATCATCTGGGTGATGCCTTTTGCATTGTTCTAGCTGGAGAACTTGGGGAACTGCATTGATGTATAATATAAACAGTTAAAAGTAGATATAATTTTAAAGTCTTTTTAAAAAAAACTTTTACATGGATATTTCAGTTTTTCTTTCAGGTGACTCTATACACAAACTACAGACAACTCAAAACAAATTTTATGTAATTTATAATTCAACTTAACTCATTTTATAGACCTTTTTGTTCTCTATGAATAAATAAAAGGAAAAAGTTTTTACTTACTGGAAAGAACAGTTGTAAGGAAAATGTAATCTGAAAAGGATATGAGCCCACATTCTCCAAGGGTGTAAAATATACTGCCTTCATCAGCAAATTTTTCTCGTTCCTGGGAAATTTTCTATTAAATATATGGATCACCAAAAGATAAAAAGAAGACATAGCTGAATTAGAACATAAACAGTGAAAAATGAAACACCATTTAACTCACAGTTTTATACTATTTATCCTAAGCATTTCTCTGATGGTCACTCAAATGAGGGGATCCTTTACAGTTTTTGAGATGATAAAAATTCCAAGACAAAAGATGATTTTATTATTTAAAGGCTGGGCTGAATATTAGAAAATAATTTCAGTTTTATAAACTTCTGCCATTGAACAAACAGACCCACTTCAAAATTAGTTTTGCTTCTTTTAAAAATAATTCACCTTCAAAAAAAATAATAATCCACCTTCTTCTATTGAAGTATATAAGGTAATAAAAAAAATCAAAACAAAAACATGAAAAAATAAAAACTAAAAGGAAATTAGTTCTAACTGCCTAAGAAAAACTAAACTGCTAGTGGTCAGCAATGAAGAGGTATATGACTATTTTCAAAGCCCATACAAATGCTCAGAAAACTAATTTCTGAAATATTAATTTTAATTTTTACTTTATCACTGCAAGAATCTTAGTTTTGGAACACAGAGCAGAATACTGAGTAAGTGACATCTGAAATATGATGCCAAATTAGACATGATAACCAAGGCTTAGAACAAATTTAATTATATTTACTATTATACCTTAGGAGAGGCTTCTAAATTTTAGCTACTTGATAAAACTGTCTCCTAAAGCTTAACCTTAACTCGACATATATATTCCTTTTCTTTAATCTATAAATCACAAAGAAAGTGAATTCTTAGCTGTAGTAATGGCCTATCTGGCAAATAGTCTCTTCCTGAGTGTTTAACCAATGCTGTCATGTTTTCTGAATTCTTAAAGCATAAACTCAGTGGTGACACTGAAGATATTTTCAAAAACTGAAAAGGATCCACCAAAGAACAACACTTGGAACAAATTTCCAAAGGTTCTGGACCAACCAATATTTTAGAAATTCAGAGTACCAAAGGAAAAAAAAAAAAGCAAGAAATAGGTTTTAGGAACTCAAACCAACAAAGCGCAATCAAAGTAATAATCTCATGCAAGCACAAAAGAGGAGGCAGCATTGCAGGCATAACTTCAGGAGGAGTTTCATGAAAACTAAACCAACAAGCATCACCACACCAGCATCCAGGAACACAACTATCCAATGGGTTACCTCTGTCTAGTGAAGATCCCATCATACATCACAAAAGAAAGAAAACTGGTTAACTAATTGGAAAACCACAAGTACCACATGAATTATCATGAAGTCAGTTTGCAAGATCTTCTTAATAAACTCATTCAAAATAACCTCCACTGGGTATATGCTTGTTCATAAGAAATAGTCACTATGGCCAGGTAAAAATCCACAGGTAAATACCAATAAAACAGTACAAGGTTTTCGTGACAGATGCTATTTAATGAAAGGGTTCTCTGACTTCATTAGTGGCTGACACAAGACATGATCCTGCATGACAGCATTTACAGATTACTTCTTTGACCTGACAACAAAAATGAGCATATAGGGCTGGGGATGTGGCTCAAGGGGTAACGCGCTCGCCTGGCATGTGCGGGGCGCTGGGTTCGATTCTCAGCACCACATAAAAATAAAATAAAGATGTTGTGTCCACTGAAAACTGAAAAATAAATATTAAAAAATTCTCTTTCTCTCTAAAAAAAATAAGCATATAATCCAATATATTCTAATTAAGGTGAGATCTTATACCACACTTGATTTTCTGCCAAGAGATTAAACATAAATAACAAACCAAAAAAGCTGCTGGAGGAAAATGAGGGCAGCAAAGTCATTCACGGGTTAATATTTAAATTTCTCAAAATAAAAGAAACAGTTATATTTTTTATTTCCCAAGATGCTACAAAATAAAGTATGTGAATAGGAAAAAATACACAAAATGAGAACAGACCCCCCCAAACTAAGCCATTACTAGCCAGAATACATACAGAAGCTAAGTAATTAATAATGTAATAATCTCATGGAGAGATTACTGTAATCAATTAAAATAAATAATACATCAGAGCTAAAGTTGAGAAAATGAAAAAAAGCCAAATAACCATGCCTAACATTATTTTCCTAATAATACCTGGACCACGGGGCTGAAATACAAAAGAAATACAAAAGAAAAATCTAATCTTGTTGGTAATTATAAATTTTCACATTATTTCAAACTCACAAAAAAGTTGAAAGACTATTATAAGGAACTAGAATATACTCTTTACCCAGATTCACCAACATCTTACCCCACTCACTTTATCATAATGTAGAGATATACTTTTTTTGTACCACTCTGAAGATAAATCGGAGATAGTGTCCTCTTTTACAATTAAATACTTCAGCATATATTTCCTGTTAAGATATTCTCACCACAGCATAAATTCAATAAATCCAGGAAATTAAATATTGATACACATTTATCTAATCCAGTCCATTTTCACATTTAGTAAACTATCCCAATTATTGCCTTTATAGCTATTTTACCCCAGTTCAAGATGTATTAAGTAAACAACATTTAGTTGTTATGTCTGTATAGTCACTATTAATCTGAAACAGCATTTCCTTATAATTCTTTATTTTTTCTTTTGAGGTTTATTATGTATAATTGTGGTAAAATTCACATAGAAGTTACCATTTTAACTATTCAGACATATAATGTATGTTTGGCTTCTAACACTTAGGGCTAAGTTCACCCATGTTTTAGCATGAATCAGTACTAATTCCTTTTTATTGTCAAATAATATTTGATTGTATGCACATACCACATTTTGTTTAACCACTGAAATGTTGGAGCACATTTAGGTTATTTTCACCTTTTGGCTATTTGTAAAAATAACTGTTGTTATCAGTTATCATTTCTTTTCAATATACACCTAGGAGTGGAATTGCTCCATCATATGACAGCTCTATACTTAAAATTTTTGAGGATTATCCATAGGTTACATCATTTACATTCCCTTGAGTAGTGTAAGAGGGTTTCAGTTTCTCTACATCCTTACCACACCTGGCCTTTTTTTCTTTTAAAAATTATAGCCATGTTCATGGGTGTGAAATGATCTCTCATAGAGGTTTTGATCTGCATTTCCCTTGTACCTAATGAGGTTGAGCATCTTTTCATGTGCTTGTTGTCCATGTGAAATGTCTATTCAAGTCCTTCACCCATTTTTGAATTGATTGTCATTTTGTTGACTTGTAAGAGTTCTTGATATATTATGGATACTACAGCCACATTATATGCATGATTTGCAAATATTTTCTCCTATTCTTTGTATTGATTTTTACACTCTTGAAAACCTAATGTCTTATGATTGAAAGTTTTTAATATTGGTGAAGTCTAATTTAACTATTTTTTATTTTTTATTTGCTATGTTTTTCAAGTTTTATCTAATGCTCCATCATGAACCTTTACTCTTATTTTCTGAGAGTTCTATAGTTTTAACTCTTTTATTTTATCTTTTTAGGTTGTTGATCCTTTTTTTTTTTTTTAATATATTAGGTGAGGTTAGGATTCAACTTCATTCTTTTTACATGGATATCCAATGGATGCACCGAAGAGGACTATGTTTTTACTACTGGATGGTCTTGGTACACTCACTGAAAGTCAATCCATCAGGAACTTGAGAACATTATGTTAAGTGAAATAAGCTAAAATCAGAAAGTCAAGGTTCGTATGCTTGAAGTTAGAGAGAAAAAGGAAAAGAAAGGGTGGGGGAAAGTGAAGTTGACAGGATGGAGATGAGGAAAAGGTGAAATACTGAGGAATGATTTGTTATACCGTGTGCATGAACAAATATGTTAACAATGAATCACACCATTACATACAATTATAATGTACCAATAAAATATGTGAAAAAATGGAAGAAAAAAGAAGAAATCCACCCATTACATGGGTTTATTTCTGGATTCTCACTTTCATACCATAATTTATGACTATCTTTATGTCAATACTACTGTCTTTTGGTTTTTAGTTGTTGGATGCAATACCTTTATTTTATTATTTTTTAAAAGTATCACATTCTTTTAAAAAATATTTTTTTAGTTTTACGTGGACATAATATAATTTTTTTTAATGTAGTGCTGAGGATTGAACCTAGCACCTCATGCATGCTAGGCGAGCACTCTATTACTGAGCCACAACCCCAGCCCCTATTTTATTATTTTTATGTGGTGCTGAGGATTGAACCCAGGGCCTTGCACATGCTAGGCAAGTGCTCTACCACTGAGCCACAACCCCAGCTCCAGTATTACAGTTTTTTATAATTGTTTTAAAAATTGGGATAAAATGAAGGTAACTTAAGATTTACCACTGTAACCATTTTAAAGTGTAAGTGTCTTAAGCTCTGTTCTTCATTCTCCCTACTTCAGTTTGGATAATATCAATTGATGAATTTTCTTTTTTTTTTTTTTTTAAATATCTTTATTTATTTATTTTTATGTGGTGCTGAGGATCGAACCCAGTACCTCACACATGCAAGGCAAGTGCTCTACCACTGAGCTACAGTCCCAGCCCAATTGATGAATTTTCAAGATCACTGATACTTCTCACTTCTTACTCAAATATGCTGGTTTTACATCTCCAGTGAATTTTTTCACCTCAGTCATTGTACTTCAAAGTTCCAGAGTTTTTATTTGGTACTTTAAAAAAAAATAATAATTTCTACATCTTTACTAATATCTTTTTACTTCATATATAATTCTCCATGTTGCTTCTGGCTATTTGACTGTACTAAGGATGGTTGATTTAAAGTCCCTGAATAGTATACCTGTGCTTCAAGGATACTTCTTTTAAAAAATTTTTCTGCAACTGTGCTATATCTTATTGTTTCCATGCAAGCATGACTTCCTGTTGGATACTGGACATTTATTATATTATCATGTGGTAAGTCTTCTTATTGTTGAAGTTGTTTTAGTGACTTTTCTAAATTCTCTTAACCTTATTGATCAGCTAGTTGTTTCCTTAAATGCTTGAAGTTAAATGGGGAAATAT